ATATTTAGGACAAAGCCATCCGGTGTACATAATTCATAGAATTTAATTAAATATTTGGCCCTCTTGCTCTTCATATATTGTCGAAAAATTAATCTACCTTTGAATAATAATAACGACTCGTCCAAACATATATTTTCTTTAGAAGATAACGCCCTCTGGAAATTTGTAAGTAGTCCATTTAGTAACTGTTCTACTTTATGTAGCCTACCGTTTCTATTTTCTGTCTCACAACTAAAACATCTTAAAATCTTTTCGAATCGTCGCCCACTCATTGTTGCAGAAAATATAGGATAATAGTATAATGGATCATACGTAAAAAGTTTTCTTATAGATGGCATTTTTATTTGTCCTTGCAACATACAAAGCCCCAAAAATTTGTTTAGCTCCGTTAGGTCCACGTTTTTCCACGAACTTTTTCTACTATATTTTCTCTGAGGTCTGGACTCTCTCGTAAGTTTGTTGCCATATCTATTAGTGGATTGTAATATCATATTCATGATTTCCTCGGTCCAAACCATTTCAAAAATTTGAACAGGTGTGACATTTTCTGGTAAATCAAGTTTAACACCCGCTAAATCTCTATCAAAATTAAATTCGGGAATTGGTATCACATTTTCAACCCAATTTTTCTCATCATTTACTTCCTCATCTATATTTTCAATCTCTTCAGAATCACTGCTGGAATTTTGTATTGCTGATAATTGCCTTAGTTCATCACCATTATCATCAGTACTATCTAAAATATAAATAAAAGTTAGACACAAATTCAATATTCAATGAAACACAAAAATTATTTTTTTATAAAACCAACTCTATCTTAGTCATTGTAACGCGACAGGCAGTGAAATCTGAGGTCTGATTTGATAAAATAAAATAATTCAGAAAATGCATGCATAACTTTACTAGAAGTGATATTCGTGCTGCACCAATTATACATATACATATTATATGTACATAGGATTTTGTTATTTGCTATCTATGTATATACACATTATGTAAATATATTGTACTTACCACTACTCTCATCTGTGTTGGTATTGGGAATATAATCATCTGAACTGTCGCTATTTCCAGATAAATTAGCATTTTGTTCCTTATTACTTCCCCCATTATCATCAGAACTGCAATTGCTTTCTGATAAATGCAGATGACTTCGTTTTTTACCGAATTACATTTTTTTTAACTTATTTATTGTATTATTGTGCTAACAACGTTCCACCTTTGCAATCATGAACGAAAATAGGGAGTTACAGTCGTAATAGCCGTATAGAGTGTCGTCATATACCGATTTACACCGATTTCTTACCACGTGCACTACTGTGGGATTCCCACAAAATTAGAAGTATTCTTATAGGACACCGCATTCTCATAGATAGGAAAACACTTATATTCATCGTCTGTCGAGACCGTCTTGACTCTGAGAGCGATTCAAATAGCGACTGCTATGACCGTCTTGTCCCAGAATGCCGATAATTAACCGACGGTCAGGACCATCTTGTCCGTTAAAGGGTTAAGGACCAACATGACATGAAAATCCTGCCAGCCGTTTGTCCCTTTAAAACCCCCGAAGAGATGAATAAGAATGGGAAATAACCAGAATAAGGAAAAGGAGGAACAAATATTTAAAAACCAGGCGGAAAACAGCGGAGGCACCACAGCTAATAATGAGAAAGGAAACAATGTAGCATTTGCAATTTCACTGTGTCTTTGGTGTATATTGAAATCCCCTCGTATATGTAATATATTGAAATCCCCTCGTGTATGTTTGAAAAATGAAGAATTTTTCCATGTTTCTTAGTTCGTATCTTTCAAGTTAAAATATTAAAAAGTTTTTTTTAATAATATTATTTGCATTGATGTATGTTAATGTAAACCATTTTAGAGTTGTTTATTTATTTCGTGGCTGCGTATTTTCCTGTCGATAATTCTTTGATTTATGCCGCCCGAAGTACTGCGTTTTTAAATTAATAATCTACGTCTTAATTTTCGTTGTGTTTTGTTTATTTCAGCGTTTTGTTTATTTCAAGTTATGTGAACGAATTTTTAAGATAATTTCGTCATTCTTACTTGGGTCGCTGTAGGCTTAGGTCATTAGTGAATTTGTAGTTTTCTGTTTTTGGCTCCTTTTTTATGGAAATATGTAGCAGTGACAAGTAAATTGTGAAGTATGTCTAGTTACAGAGGAGGTTAAAAAAATATTTAAGAGATTTGTGTCGCCTGCAGCAATTCTGATATTCCAGTTTGTTTCCAGTTGAAGTGCTTCTTCAATCTCGCTGTTCCTGCTTTGTTCCTGGAGCAGTTTGTTTAGTTCCAGTTATAGTTCCAAAACTCTAGTGTAAAACCCATTGTAGTCCAGGTAACTTTTGTGTAAATATTTAAAGTAAAGTAGACATTTTCTTAATAATATAATTGCTTTCATTAAAATTTAAAGGATTTATAAGAATTAATAAATTGTAAAATTTTAGGGTTTGACTTTAGCTGTCAATTTGTGTGTTCGGTTTTTTTTTTTAAATTATTGTTAACTTATGACAGCTCGTTTTATTATTTTTTGATTTTACTTTGTTTTATTTTTAAAGAAGGTTAACCTCCATGCAATTTTGTAAGTTTTGTAGCAACAGAGTTTGTAAACGGCTTGGACACATGAAAGTTTTTTTTTGTTCACTGTTCAATATAATAAATATAATACAATAAATGTTAAATTTTGTTTTCTTAACATTTTGTTTATTCTTTTTTAACTACTTTTTTGAGTTTCCATTTGAAAAAGATATGTTTTTTATGTTTATTAATTATTTCTCTAGCTACAAATAGCTGTTATTATGGTTATAATTGGGCACCTCAAAGTGGCGCCCTATATTAAATTACTAGTGGTGTTTTCTGTTTCTTTTTGTTTTGTTTGTCTCAAGAAATTCATGACTCTCTATTTCTATTTTTTGTAGTTGCCCCAATCCAACCCCCTTATCTTTGACTTATCTACGACCCCAGCTCTCCTAACAAGCCCTAAGTGCCGTTTGCACAAGTAGCGTTTATTTTGCTTGCCCTATCTCAACCCCCATAACTTCTGTCCTCAATTTTCTACCCCTTATATTAATACCTCATGTGGTAGACAAAATATTTTCGTTACAACAACATATCAATTTCAGAGACATTGGGGGTAGTAGCATTTACCCTAGCTTTCATATTCGTCTTATCGTTGCTGTACAGACAATGGTGCAGGTAGTTGAAACGACAAATCAGACGGGAGGTGACCAAATCATCGGAGCTGTTGGGATTGGACGCTAGATTTCCTGGAGCATCTAAAACCAGCTAAGATAATAACTATTGTTCTACTCTTTTTTTATATATTTGATCATTATACAGTTATAGATATAGAGTATGATAAATAAACAAAAGTTATTTATTAATTTTAATTCTCAAAAAATTTGATTACTTATATAAGCAAATGTTTCATTTACTATAAATATGGACTGTATAGAGATCTAGAAATTTTATAACTATTACGCAAAAAATAAATTGTTTTAAGGACATTTCCTTATACACACCTCAAAGTTGAATGAATCTCATTAAATAAATTGTTTTTTTTGCATAATATGATATTTATTATTAGCTATTCTGTTTACTTTTACATATAAAAATACGGACATAATATTTATAAATTTAAAACGAACGATTTATGATCGAGCAAAAGCTTTTACGAATTTTGGAGACACTGTACAACGAAAAAATAGTATACAGACCACCAATAAATGGTCGGAGAAAGCGAGTATAAAGTACACTACTACGTACTTGCTAACTAAGCAATAAAAACACAATATTAAACTAGTATGAAATAATAGTATATTACATAACGAGAGTTGTAAGAAGCTTATTACATGCGAGTAAAAAAGTTGCGCGCGAGCCGCGTAGCGGCGAGCGCAGTAATTTTACAAGCATGTAATAAGCTTACAACTCAAGTTGTGTACTATACTTTTTCTACCATTATTTTTGTTTATAAAAATAAAAATTAAATTACCACTATATTTACACTGACAGATTAATAATTTTTAACCTGTCAAAACAACGCCTGTTAATTCGTTTCCATGGCAACTCGACCAACTGACTTACAAGGCGTATATGATATTACACATTTTTATAGAACTGAAGCGTAATTTTTTTTATTACGTGCTAGTCATTACGTGTCAGTATCTGTTATGATGCATTTACTTAGCATCCAAATAGTAGGTAATATACAATTTACTAGTAAGAGGGTAGAAAAATATTATTATTAGCAAATATAAGTAAAATACGTTAAAACTGCATTATTCTTAGCTTAGGTTTATTTTACTAGAATTACATATTTTTTACCAGTGCGACATAACTTAAATGAGCTGTTCAATATTCTGCACACTCTCAGAACTCAACTATGGTGTCTACAAAAGGATCCATTTACCAACCAGTACACCGCTACATGCATTTTTGAGAACGTGGCAAAAATGCTGGAAATTACTCATACGTTTCCCTTGCGGTGTCAACGAGAAATATGCGGATTGTATTCAGTAAGATATTCATTTGATGTCAGTATTATACGTATATATACAGAGTGGCCCAAAAGTCTGGAAACGATCAATTATCTTGTAAATTGTTGGGATACGGATATTTCATATTTGATATTTGCAATGTTGCCAGATTTGCCGTTTCTCTGACATTATTAGTAACTTCGATTTTTCAAATTTATCACCCTGTATATTCAGTCATTATTTGAATCTCCTATTCAATACGAGTTCAACTATTATGTAACACTTATAATTTTATGTAGTCTGGAAGGTCTTAAATACATAAAACAGTACAAAATATGTAGATTTTAATGAATTTAATAATTTAAATGTAGAATGCTGTGATTTTGACATATGTTCACCATTTATATTATTAACTAAAATGAATAATAATTATGTTTCGAAAAGTTCTGCAAAATAAATTGCTTTCCCAAAATGACTCTTAACGAAAAAGAACAAATAACTATTCTTATGATTAGAGGGTACTGTGACAGAAAACGATCTTATTGTGAAGTAGCCAACTTGCTCAATAATACTTTCCCAAACCGTTCTCCTATTCATAAGACGACGGTACAAAAAACTGTACAGCGATTTAAAGAATCTGGAGAAGTAAAAGATAGATACAAATCAGGTAGACCGAAAAGAGTTATGAGTGACAACAAAGCTTTAGATATAATCCAAAGTTTTGTTGAAGAACCACATACATCCTCACGCAAGGTTGCACAAGTACATGATGTTGGTCGTTCTTCAGTCTTATGTGTATTACGTAAGAATAAATTTAAACCCTACAAAGTTAACTTATTGTAATAATTAAGAGAAGATGACTTTGATCATAGATTAGAGTTTACTGAGGTAATGATGGATAAAATTGAAAATGATAAAAATATCGTTAAATTATATGTTTTTCCGATGAAGCAACCTTTACGCTGTGTGAAAGTGTAAATCGACACAATTTAAGGTACTGAAGTGACGTAAATCAACATTGGATGCATAAAAACTATACTCAAAAACTTTAACGTCAGATAGTTACGAAAGTTGGACAATTTTAATCAGATATGGTTTCAGCAACATAAAGCTCCAGCAGATTTTGGTGTAAATGTTCGGCGTTATTTAGATGAGATATTTCCCGGACGATGGATTGGTATACGACGTAGAATTAAATGGCCTTCACGTTCACCTGATTTCAATCCAAAAGATTATTTTTATTGGGGATACTTGTACTAAACCAGCAAGTCTTGCAGAGCTAAGGCAATGAATAATCAATGAGTCTATAATCTGGAGGCAACATCTTAACAGGAGCAAGCAACAAAGTATATGCCATAAGTATTAGTTCTAAATTTAACGATAAAGATAAATTATTCACAGTAACACCTTTAACTATAAAAAAGCAGAGCACTAGAAATAGAAATAATTTACAACATCCCTCTCAAGGAGCTACCAAAGAAGATTAAAGTATAACTGTACTATACCTTTAAATACTGACTGCAAAAAGCACATTTTTCAACAACTGGAAACACGCCAAGATCATCTCTTTACTAGAAGCATTAAGGAAATTACTGTAAAAAATTATTTACAGAAGGCTGATGAAGCACGCGGCATGAAGAAGAATCATTCAAAAGGACCAGTTCGGATTCAAACGACTTAGTTAGTTTACCTTCAATAAACACCAAAATTCTGATTTTATATGTTTCTAATTATGAAGAAGCGGCTAATTCAAATTCAAAGAAGCGGTTCTAATTATGCTTAATGAGGCCAATTGTGTTGCAAGTTCCTGGAAAGAATGTAGTAGGATCTGGTTACCAATATTGAAAGAGGAAGTTATTAATAAGAAAATACCAGTATTAGTAAGTCAGTAACATATAGAGGATAAATCATTTATGTTTTTTAAATAACGAAACATATAAAATTAGAATTTTGGCGTTTATTGAAGGTAAACTAAATGCACGAACAAATACTTACCATGTCGGGATAGTATTATGAGGTTTTTTTTCCTGGTTTTTCCCTCATAATTTACTGTGGAATCACTAACAGGAGAATTTTACTGTCATCATGTCATGTGTTTTGTCTTTTTAAAGACGAATTACATGCTATGATTTTTTCTGGCGGATATTCTCAAGTTAAAGTTGATTTCATGTAATCGAATGAACTATCTTATACGTAAAGTCGTCCCAGGAGCGCAACTCAACAATATTGGCAATATCATTTTAAAGTCGTCTACTTTAAAATGCATAATGTATGTCTGAATTGTCAATTAAATAAGTTAGATAAAATTAAATTATTTGAAGAATTTTTCACTATGTAACAAAAAACAAAATTTGTTTAATTTACTGTTTGTATTTTGAGAACGATTACCGAAGTGGAAACTGAAACGTCAATAAACGTATTTTTATCTTTAATTGTGGCTTATTTTCAGTTAAATAGTAATTAGTTTTTAGGTTATGTTTTCATTTATCGTTTATTATACTGTTATTTTTTTTATGTTTTTAAATAAAATTTCAATAAAGATATTTGCTTAGAACATGTGTTATAGAGAAGTCTTGTCCATCATTTAAGTTCAGTAGGTGGCGCCATTACCCCTAGGCCTGGGGCAATGCCGTCACGTTACACAAAAAAATTTAAGTTACAAACTTAGTTCTTAAATCGCTAGCATAGTTACATATTTCTTTCATCTCAAAATTAAGTCACAAAAAATGATGATTTCTTAAGGTGACGACACCATTACCCCGCCCTATCATAATTACCAGGTATTTTAGTTCCATTACTTGTTCAATACTTATGCTATCAATTTCTATTTTACATTTGGTTGATTCTTTGCTGACTACCATTGTTTTAGTTTTCTAATATGAGATTGTCATAAAAATTCTTTTGCTCTTACGTTAAATCTGTAGACCAGTCTTTGTAGACTATTTTTATTTTGGGCTATCAATATTGCATCGTCTGCGTAACAGAGTATTTTTATTTCTTTGTTTCCTATTCTGTATTGTCTTACTTATTTAGCTCTTTTGATGATGTCATTCATGATTAAATTAAAGAGCATGGGGCTCAATAAGTCCCTTTGTCTTATTCCGCTGCCTATTTCTATGGGTTCGGTAAGTTGTCCGTCTATTCTGACTTCCGTTTTGTTGTTTTGGTAGATAATTTCAATAGTTTTTAGAATACAAAGGAGAATTTCACTAATATACAGAAGATGGATTACATCTTTGAGTATTACTCTGTCAAACGCTTTCTTTGGGTCTAGACAGCCAAATAATATATCTGACTTGAACATAAACTTACAAAATTTATACAAACTATGATAATTTTTAAAACTCTCTTCCAAATAAAAACTAGAATGCTAAATAAAACAATTTACTGGTTATTGTATAGTTTATTCTCATTCAAACATTTAATGAAAGTTGACATGAAATTCGAGAATATTTCAAATAAAGTTTACGTCCTTTAATATACAAATCTGTTTTACAACGTAAATACACCAATATACCGTTTCTATACCGAAAATCTACATTCAAAATCTACATTAATAGAACTGTCAAAGAGCGGCCCGTTCTATGCACTCTTATTATATCTTATATCGGAACTCCAGTTGACGCAAATCCATACACAACCACATTTAAATGCAACAGAGCAAACACAACTTTCCGTGAGATACGTCTCTGGTGATATTTCGTATATTTTGTGCATTAGCCGCGGATTCAGATTTGTGAGTATATCGTGAATTTGGAGGAAATAGAACAAGGAAATGGCACACAAATGCTCCCGGAAAGAAAATGTATACGTTCTAATTTAATAAAAGAGAGTAATATGTAAATTGAGGTGGGGTGTATTCTGGAAATCGATATTAAAGTAATGGATGAATTTTTGATTAAATGAAACAAAGTGATAGATCGCAACCGAGCAAACAGGCAAATAGGATGTTTAATGTTTTTAATTTAAAATTTATTTTTTAATTTGTATTTAAATTAATAACATAAAAATTCGACAACAATTACACATTATCTTAATTATAATAAAGATACAAACTATCGACTTCCTGCCCTGTGGTTTGTACTGTATACATTTTTTTTTATTTTAAAAAAAGTGTCTCGGCAACTATGGGCCATTGACATTGGTACAAAGTTTATTACAATACATTTATGTTTACATACATATACAATCTGTTTATATACAAGTTAGGATACATTAACAATATCTTAATATAATTACACTAAGTAATAAAGGTGACAGTCTTTTAGGAAACGAATTATGGAACTTTACATGTTAATAGCCACTATGAGAATTCAGCTAGACAGAGATTTACAAACTCCATTAATTAGAATTTGTAGAGGTGTCAGACAAGGAGATACAAGCTCACACAAACTATTTACTCTGGTGTTGAAATACATTTTTAAATCTATAGACTGGACAATAAAGGAATTTGTATAAACGGGAAATATTTATATCATCTAAGATTCGCCGATGATGTACTCCTGATAGCAACAACTATAGAACAACTACGCATAATGATTTCAGACCTAGAAAAAACACCTCTTAAGAAAGAACTAAAAATGAAGTTAAAGAAAACTAAAATAATGACTTATATAGAAGACAGATCAGTAATTACCATAGGTGGAACAGACATGGAACACGTCCAAGAATATATTTACTTAGGACAAGCTATCAGAGCAGACAAAAGTAACCAGACTAAAGAAATAACCAGAAGAATAAGAATGGGGTGGCTTATGAAAAACTCTCATATACTATCAAAAACCAAAAAATACCTTTAAAATTAAGAACGAAGCTACTTAATGCATGCGTCCTACCTGTTCTGACATATGGTGCCCAGACGTGGACGTGTACCAAGAGCAACTTAGATAGAATAAAGAAAACTCAAAGAGCTATGGAAATACAAATGTTGGGAATATCGTTGAGAGATAAAAAGAGAAACGAGTAGATAAGATGCAAAACCGAAACAACAGACGCTGTCGAACATGCATTGAAATTAAAATGGAAATGGGCTGGGCATAATGAAAGATATCAGGATGGAAAATGGAATAAAGAAATTGGCCGCTGGAGACCATATACTTCAAAAAGGTCAAGAGGTCGACCGCAAATGAGATGGAAAGATGACATTGAGCAAAACGCAGGTCCAATGTGGAAAAGACAAACAGAAAACAGAGACATATAGAGACAAATGGGAGAGGCCTATATTCAACACATGAATAGATTTTGGGCTATAGATAGATAGATAGACATATAGAACCAAGTTGATCACTAAAATTATTTTGAAGGTTGTAGTAGTATCTTTGAGGTTTGTAGTAGACACATTCTAGTATTATGTGCTGGACTGTTAAGGAATCGTTACAATGTTCAAACTGACGAAGGTTTTCAGAAGACATCAAATATCCATGATTAAGACGAGTATGACCTATTCTAAGCCTTCTGATAATAATATTGTCTTTTCTGCTCATTTGAAGCATGGTGATGGAGGTAACAGTTGGTTGAATTGTGCGTAGTTTTGTATTTTGCGTTCCAGTATGTTTGAAAATGTGCTTAGTACGTTGTTGTTGATACTGGCCTTTAGGTCTTGGAAAATTTGTATGTTTTTCATATTTTCTAAGAAACAGGCCAGATTTGCTTCATGATCAGCGTTCTTATTTCCATTAATACCAAGATGGGATAGTATCCAGATCATCGTTACTGAAATACCATTTTTTGACTGCTGTTGGCAGATACTGTAGATGCATTGTACAATGGCATGTATGGAATTTATATTTAGTCAATGACGGAGAGAGAATCGGTGCATATTGCTAATGATTTCTCATTAGTAA